AAATATAACAAGTAGAAAAGGCTGTCTATGATTAAAAAGAATGATGAAAAGGAGGAGGAGGAAGATGAGAAAAAGAAAAACCTCCTTATTTGGGGGCTGTTTGCAAAGGCAGGTCCCTGCTGGTGGGCTAGAAGAGGACTGTGGGAGTGTCCAGCACCCAGAGAAGACTGAACAGGGACTCGGGTGTGAAGCTCCTTATCAAGGGGAGGATGCGCATCTTTTCCTCCCCTCTGAAGCCTCTGGTCTCCCTCATGAGGGCCCCCACAGTCGTGCCAGTGGTGATGCCATCTCTTCCCCACAATTCAGACAAGACACTGAAAGATCAAGTGTTCGTTTTCTGTCTCGGCCCGCCAGCTGCAGATACATAATGATGCGAGAAAGACTCCACAGCTCGCCCAGGTGTGAGGCAGGTCAGAGAAGGCTCGTGGAGGCACAAGGGAAGAAGCACTGTCCAGAGAGAGGACAAAGAAAGAGATGAACAGTGTTCTCCTCGCAGTCCAAATGCCAAGTGCCTGCGTCATAACGTGGAATCCCTGTGGCTGAGTAAGTCAGGATTCAAAGCTCAGGCAAAAATGACCTCAGTCCCTGTCAGCCCCACACGTGACGTGAGGGAGGCCAGTTGCTGATCAGGGCACAAATGTGGCTGTCTGGGCTCCCCACCACAAACCAGAGCAGCTTGAGTGAACGCAACGGACAGTTCTATTATTTCAGGATGTTTACAGATTGACGTACACTGAGGAAAGTTGACACGAGAGCAAGTCATCTTTTTAAAAACCTCTTATCTAAACACAGGCACAGGCAGTCACACAAAGCCATGACAGGGTTCGTTCATTTAAAACAAACTCCCTGAGTGGCTAGGACACAAGTGGACAGATGCTCAGGGAGCCTCCGCCCCGTCCCAGACACTGAGATCCAGTGTGGCTGAGAAGCCAACTCCACTCTCAAGGGGCTCAGTGTCTGGTGGGGGAGACAGGCACTTAAAACAGAGAGTAATGGCTGGCTAAAAGTGGTGTTGGGGTGGGGTGGGTGCTGCTCCAGATTAATATAGGCATAAAGGGTGTAACAACGAAATACAGTATACAGACTTTGTCTGGATCCTGATTCAAACAATCAAAGAAATCTGAAAGTGGACAGATGAAAGCAAAGAACCACTGTTAATTCTGTTACATGCAATAAGGGCAATGTGGTATGAAAGAGATCATTCTTTCTAAAATAGATATAAACTAGATTATTTAGGGGGAAATGACACAATATCAAAGAGTTGCTCTAAAATACCTCAGGAAGAAAAAACAAACAAAGGAAAGAAAAAGAAGAGGAGGAGAGGAAGGAAGCGGGAGAATGAGAAGGAGGGAGAGGGAGGGAGGGGGAGGGAGGGAGGGAGAGGGCATGAGCTTGGCATAATCTTGAAATCTTGATGACTGTTGAAGCTGGATAATGAGTATATGGGGCTCATTGTACTATTCTATCTCTCTGTTTGAAAATACTCATGGCATTTTTAAATAGGCTGCAATACATCATGGTGGATATCCTAATAAAGACTGGCATAAAAACCAAGGGAATACAAACCAAAGAGGATTTGTGAGAACCAGAAAATAAACCTGCCAAGTTTATGAATATTTTAAATGATATTTCCTAGTGAGGTGGGAAAACACATTCACAAATAATTACAGCAGGTTCTTGAATAATGTCATTTCATTCCAAGTGGTTTTGCTATAATGTTGATGAAATGACACAGGAAACTAACTGTTCCTTATATCAATTAGCTTATGGTAAATTTGTTTCACTTTATATTATCTCACTTAAAGTCACAGAGCCGATCAACTGCATTGAGCGAGGATGACTGTACTGTGTAAAGTGGGAAACCGGTGCACACAGCAGGGGGCTGCACTCACCAGACCCCCAGCGTTCGCAGGGTGGCCACGAAGTCTCCCTGTCCCCTTTAGTGTTTAATTCACCACGCAGCCCTCCCTCACAAAGACAAGGCTGGAATCCTAGCGTGGTTGCTCACTAGCTATGTGATAGGAGCAAGTTGTAACCTTTCTGAGTCTCAGTTTCCTCACCTGTCAGATGGGAATAACCCTACCTACTTTTTCAGAGGGCTAATGTAGAGACCTAAGGATATACAAAATGAAAAGTCCCAGCATGATAAACAGTATTCTATTTCTTGGCTCTTTAAACACCAGAGACCTTTAGTCTTGGGAGGGCTTCAAACATTAGCAATGTTCAGTTCAAATCTCACACTCATACCCCACCTCTCCTTCCAGGGTCAGGGCTCTCCACCAAGACAGCAGAACCTCTACTTGTCAGTAGTAGGGAGTAAAAGGGGCAGGCCCATGACTGGGAGGTACATCCACACGGGGGTGTAGACATGGGTGGAGAGAACAGAGACACACCCCAGTACTAGGCAGAGAAGGATTACCCTACCTGTTCCTCTGCCCCTTGAAGCTGCAGGGAATGGGCTTGAATGACCACAGCTACAACCAGCCTTAGTCCTTAAACTGATTATGTTAACATGTAACTGGTTGTGTTATTAAAATAGTCACAGGGATATAAAGTACAGCAAAAGGAATACAGTGAACAAAAATATTGTAATAACTATGTATGGTGTCAGGTAGGTACTAGGTTTATTGGGGTGATCATTTCATAAGGTATATAAATGTCTAATTACTATGTTGTACAACTGAAACTAATATAAATAAAATTGTATGTCAACTGTAATTGAAAAATAATTTTTTAAAAGCCTTTTACAAGGTTGCCACCCATAATACACACACACACACACACTGTTAGTCTCAGGCCCTCCCTGCAGGAAGGGAGGGAGGGAGGGAGGAAGAAAGAGAAAGAAAGAAAGAAAGAAAGAAAGAAAGAAAGAAAGAAAGAAAGAAAGAAAGAAAGAAAGAAAGAAAGAAAGAAAGAAAGAAAGACTGGTAGTAAGCTAATGATGACCTTCTCTTAGAAGGGAGGGATGAGCAGAAAGCCAAAGCCCTGGCCCTGAAGATGGCAGGTGCAGGGATAAAAGTGATGTCATTTCTTATGAAGGTATGCTCAAACTGTAATTTTAATCACCTGATAACCATAACTGGTATACTGTATTTCCTCCCTCAAAAAAATAAAAACAGAACTGGAATCAATCCTAAGGTAGAATTATTGCAGCTAACATGGTTCTCTTTGACCATCCCAGAAGCCAGCTCTCAGAGGTGAGACCATGTCCATGGCATAAGCAAGCTTTGCCCCCAAATAGCACACAAATACCAGCAGTCAATCCCTTCCCATCATAGCATGACAGACACCAGCGATCACCCTTGACTGGAGGACAGGGTGGGGCAAGGGGCCACAGGATGAACAATCTGGGCTAACCTGGGTCAGTTCAAGTGCTTTACCAAAAAAGCACCCCTTGAATCTTTGGACAGAATCTTTTCAGAGACCAGGAGCCTCCAGTCAGCACATAATAGGGCCATGCACATGCAGCAGGACACAGGATCATGTAGCAGGGCACACCACTTTCCACAGCCTCAGGACAACAAGAAAAGCACTGGTCTTAGCTCTGGCAAAGCTAGACCTGGTTTAAACCCTGGCTTGGTCACTCACGTTCTGTATGACCAAGGGCACTCATCTGCCTTAGTCATCTTTCCCCATCTCTAACATGAGGAGGGCAAAACTGAATTTTTGGAGAGTAACCATGAAATTGGCTGCAAAAGTACCACACGGCAGGACCTGTCCCCCAGCAGGCACTTAATAAATCTGTCTTCTCTCTTCCCAAAGGTGAGTCCTTGCTGCAATTAGAGTCTCCAGAGCACCAGATGAGCTGCCCTGGAGAAGGGAAGCCTGCTTGCTGGGTCCTTTCCCCCTGGGAAGGGGACAGGAATAGAGCTAGCACAGGTGTCAGGGCACCCAGGAATGCAAACGTCGTCCACAGGGCCAACCTGCCGCTGGCTTTATTCCCGAGGAACCTACCCAGAAGGGGGCTGGTTAGTGATTTCACCCTACACATAAACCACTGAAGACTGTAAGTGGGGAGGCAAGACTGACAGCGAGAGGGTCCACATGCTGCTGAAGGACCCCCCACACCATAGAGCCTGACGAACCTCCAAATAAAAGCTTTTAGGCTTTAAGAACCCAGGCTTCAGAATAAACAATGTAAAAGGAGGCACACGTTTACTCTGGTTTCAACACGCCTCTTCCCCATCCAACAAAGGCCGTTCCCCGCTCTGCTCTGCCGAGAGGCTAGGCTAGGATAAATTTAACCCCACCTGCTCCAGCCTGGAAGCAAGGTCAGCGGCGGCAGAGGCTGTGGGCAAGACCCTACTTCTCCCTAGTGCCAGTCAGTCAACGGCCAGGTGGGCGCCACTGACGCCCTGGCAGGGGTGCTCTCGGGCCTGGGGTGAGCGGGGGCTGCTGCGGGGGACGCGGCGCCAACAGTACAGCATCGCGGCCTCTTGGACCACCGCTTTGCCCCTGCCCTAGCCCCAGACCCGGTCTTAGCCCGTAGGGGCCAGGCCACTGACATTTGACCCAACTTCACTTCCTGTTGTTAAGGAGGGAAGGGAAGAGAGGGGGATCGTGAAAAGCCAGGAGAGAATGTGAAAGACACAGAGCCCAAATCTTGGGAAGCAAAGTTTGGTGATAATCTTTTGACCCCGTGGCAGGAAGATTGCACCCACTGGCGCATTGCACCCACTCCGCGTTGATGTTTGGGGATTTTCTAGGCTTAGAATTGCCGGGTTTGGGTGTTGGCGGGCAGAGTAAGAGGTAGTTCTGGGCACAGATGGGAGGCTTTTATTTTGTTCTAATCTGCTCAGAGACTGACAGCAGCAGCCCTGGCCTTCTGGACGGAGCCACCTGCTCGACAGGCGCCCGGTGGGTTTGAGGCGGGAGATGCTGCAGCTGCACCTGACCCTCCCGGGCGCCGGCTGGGGCGCAGAGTCAAGGCTCTGCTGGTACGGTCCCCGCACTTGCCTGTCCGGTAGCCCACCCCAGAGCCCAGCGCCGTCCTGCCTTACCGAGAGCCGCGCTGGCCACTGAGCCTAGGGCCAGCTCCTGCCTTTGCCTGGGGTAGCGGGCGCAACAGTCAGGACTCGCAGGCCGCCTGCGGAGCTAGGAGCAAGCAAGAAGGCTCCGCGCAAGAGTAGCCGGGCAAGCGCCCGCTGTTCTGCGCCGCGTTGCCCACAGAGCTTGGAGCCTCCCCCATCCACGGCGCAGCCAATGACAGGGCAGCGGGCAGGGCCGGGACCAGTGGCAGAGCAGCGAGGAGCCCACCCCCGCACCCAACCCGCTCCGCCCCTGTGGGGCCAGCTGTCACCGCGGCGGCTGCTGGCGCACGTGGGCTGCAGCTGGGCAGGAGCTCAGGGAGCGGCTGGCGCTTCCACCGAGACCTGCGCTTCCACCGCGACCTGCGCAGGTTTGAGACCAGTGAGGAGGGCTGATGTGGGCGGGGCATAGTCTCACTGTAAGATGAAAACCCAGGTGCTGGTATTATAATGTCAGGGGAAAGGCAAAGGCTGGGCCGCATGCTCCTCAGTCTAGGCAGCTGGAAAGTAAGCCCTATCGCGCCCTTTTGGACTCGCGGAAGCACTTCCAGTAATGACTGTGGGCCTACCTCCGTGCTTTACCTCCTGAACACTCTGGGCTTCAGCAAACGTCCTGCTAGCTGATGGGCTCTTCCCCTCACCTGGACTGCCTTTGCTTAGAATAAAGCTGGTGGGAAGTGGGGAAGTGATACAGACCACCTATGTTAAATAACAACCCTCTGTTCTTAGCTGTTAAGTGGGGACCTTAATCTCTGCTCTGCCCCTCCCCAAGTACCATTCACAGAAAATACAGTTCCCCAAGCACCATTCACAGATAACGCAGTGTAAATGGGGTGAGGCCTAGGGGTGTGTGAAGCAGCTTTGCAAACTGTAAACACTGCAAACACCTTGGATATGAAACAAAGGTCACATGGGCAGATGTCATGTCTTGCTTACCTCTGGGGCCCGGGGCTCATCACAAGCTTGACGCAAAGTAGGCATCAATAAATGTCCTTGGAACTGAGCTGACACAGTAGGGAGTAGAACAGGCAGAGTTCGGTGATGAGAAAACAGTACTGTGACTCTAGGCTGCTGGAATTTCCACAGCACCAGACCACCCTCTGGAAAGACTATATTCTATTGCCAGGCAAGTACAAACAGAGCAGCTTGCCCCCTTCAAACTTGGGGCTTATAAGTTTGCTTGTTTGTTTTTCTCTACTCCTTACCAATTGATGCTACTCCAGGCCTTTGGGGTTTGCCCAGGGATTGTCCAACCTGGCAGCTCTCTTAGTATCCTCAGAGTTTAATGTCCTGCAGATGAACTTTCAGTAAAAGCCATCCCTGCTTAGTTTGCAAGACTACCAGCAGTTACTCTCAGGGAGCAGCTCTCGACTCTGATGGAATTCTGCCTGTGATATCAGTTGATGGAGTGCTGTCTGAACATTTTTCTCATTTAATCCTGACAATGGATCTGTAAGGCATGCATTCTTATTATCATCCCCTTTTACTGATGTGGAAACTGAGACTCAGTGAGGTACAGCAACTTGTCGAGGTCACGTGGTTAATAAGTATTAGAGTCTGGATTCGAGCTCAGAGCTATCTGATTCCAGAATCTGCACGTCTAACCACTGGGTACTGGGGCCTGTACAGCCCTGCTCATACCTCTAGAGTGCCAGACAGGCTAGGTCTATTTCTGAAGGAACTGCAATGGGGCCTGGCCTGCCCAAACATTCTGTTGACCTCAGGCCTGAGCACTGTCAATTATGGGAGATGAGACCAGCATGGTGCTGCCTTACTTGCAGAGTGATACAGGAAAGCTGAGACAGAGAGGAGCTCCAGGAAGCAGTATTACCTCTGCCCCAGCACAAGGCCTCACTGGATACAAAGCCTCTTGCTTCTGGCCTTGGCCTGAGAGACCCATGTTGACAATAGAGATGGAGATAGGTCATTCATTCATTGCACAAATGCTACTCTGAGCTGGATGTGGTTCCCATGTTTATAACTTACAATGCAGCTGATAAATAGAAGTACATGCTGCTGTAGAAGCTGTATTTTTATTACTTTTAATTTTTATAATATCCATCACCTTATCTATAGCACAGTGTTCTCCAAATTAAATAAATTTTAGACTAGTTCAGGAACACTGTGGGCCAACCAAGTTTTATAGAGATAACATTGCTCAACACAGAAGTTTCTCATAGCTCAAAAACTAAAATTTATCAATGGGTTCCCATGACCTCTGCCTCCTCCCCCTATCCCACTCCCAGTGTTTTTATCTCAGGAGGGTCAGGTAAGAAAATCCTTTCTACGTGGGTCTCAGGACTGAGTGGTGAACTCTTTCTTGGATACAGGGCAAGCTGGGAGGTGATGGGGGCTAACTGCATGGAGGGAGATAAACCTTGGGACCTCTTGAGCCACTGCTCAGAGCCCTTCCCCACTACACAGAAGCCACCTTTGCTGGCCATCTCCTTGGGGGGCGGGTGGAGAGAGATGGGGACAGGAAGTCACAACTCCCCCTCCTCTGGACAAAACAGTACCATGGGATATCCTGCCTTACTCTGACTGTGTCTGGGAGTTTATACAACTAAGATCTTCACAGAAAAGAAATCATGCAATGTTAGAGTAGACCTTAGAGAAAATATCTAAGCCCTTCACTTAATAGATTAAAGGAATAAAAAATTAAATGGAGCCCTGGAGACGGGAAGGCACCTGTGAGCATCACCGAGTAGAGGAGTGGGTCCCAGGTTCCCAACTCTTAGCGTGCCAGGCAAACTCAACCTCTTTGTGCCACAACTCAGTATTCTATGTTTAATAGCAATCTCCTCCCCAGCCCCCTGTTCTAGGACGGTGGATGTGTGCTTGTGAAGGTTGTCTGGGAGATGCAGATGGCCACATTAGCATCAGAGGGAGGGAAAGAAAGAAGATCCAGATTCATCCTTAAAAATATCTCCATCTCAGACTGGAAGCGATGGATCTCAGCACCACTATGTGTTCCTCCCCGTGAGAGAACTGCCGGTGTTAACCTCCGTCATCACCGGTTACCCACCTGGTGGTGTTCCCGGAGGGCTGGTGGGGCGTGTGGCCTGGTGGCTTTTTATTTCCAGCTCAGCAAGTGGCTTGCAGAAAGGTAAAAGTTGAACTAAGTGGGTTCTTGATACAGAGATGTTCTGTACAGAAGCCAGGGTGCTTCTCACAGTGTTTGAAAGGCAGGGGAAAGAGTCACCACTGTGTCTCACCCCCTCCAAATGAAAAAGCGTCCAGGCCCCGGACATTTTCCTCCTGTGGAAATGTTCCAGGAAGGGGTAGAATAGTGAGCATGGCTCTCACTAGCTTCCTCCTCAAGCTTCTATCAAAGGGCTTTGGGCTTTCAGAAGGAAGAGAAAGGCTGGTATCTATACAGTCCAGTGACCTTGTAAAATGATGAGAAAAGTCTAATTGGCCTCAGGCCACCTTGGGAACTATCTTTGCAGAAGGACTTTTTAAGCCAGGAAGTTGAAACATTTGTACCTCCTGAAGGAAAACAAACTCAGGAATGTGTGAGAAGCAACATTCCCTGGGGCCTCATTCCAGTCTGATATACTGATAGGCCCCAGAATGCACCATTTTTCATGAATAGGACAGAAAGTTGTTCAAAGTCTTTTAGGAATTTATCAGGCCTACCCCACGTACGGTGCGTTTTTCAGAGACAGTTGGGGGAAGAAATGGCACTTGTCAAAATCAGTAATACTCTCAGAGGCACTGCGCCACAGCACTTTGGGGAATGTGTGCTTGTTGGCAGCAAAGACGGGAAAGTCAATGCTGGAGAGCTGAGGTTACAGGCAGGAGGTAATGTGCCAACCAGAGCACAGAGAGGGACAGAGAGCACGTGTGCAGAAGGAGGGAAGAAGAGACACAGGGTACTCCAGCTCCAACCCCCAATAACCTGGTGAGATGCACACACACACACACACAAAACACTCAAAGCCAACTGTGAAGTACAAGGGCATAATTCTAGAGATACAAGAGACTAAACAATGCCACAAAAACCACTGCACCCTCACAGCAGACTGGGCCATGCCTGCAGCCCAGGCAGACTATTGTTCATGCAAACTTGAAGCCCATTCTAGAACACACTGCTGTAATTGAATGGAGCTGGTGGGGAGGAGAGGCGGGCAGCTCCCAAACCCTCCACAGAGCAGCTGGCTGGCGATATTCTTCTCTGTTGTAGCCCATGGAGGGGACTCACTCAAGCTCATCTGTTTATCCACCCATGATGTATCCACCCCACAAATACGTACAGTGCAGTTATCCTAAGAGATGTCATAACCAAGTAATTAGTAGCACAGACTCTGAAGTCAAGATGCCTGAGTTTGAACCCCAGCTCTGCCACTTACTGGGTAACCTTGGGCAAATGACTTAACCTTTCTGTGCAACAGGTTCCTCACCTGTGATAAGGGCATCATAAGAGGAAGATATGTTCTATGCCCATATCTCACTCTATGATGCCCGTAACTGCTGGCAGTCTTACAAACTAAGCAGGGATGGCTTTTACTGAAAGTTCATCTGCAGGACATTAAACTCTGAGGATACTAAGAGAGCTGCCAGGTTGGACAATCCCTGGGCAAACCCCAAAGGCCTGGAGTAGCATCAATTGGTAAGAAGTAGAGAAAAACAAACAAGCAAATTCATAAGCCCCAAGTTTGAAGGGGGCAAGCTGCTCTGTTTGTACTTGCCTGGCAATAGAATATAGTCTTTCCAGAGGGTGGTCTGGTGCTGTGGAAATTCCAGCAGCCTAGAGTCACAGCACTGTTTTCTCAGTACTGTTGTGCATAGAACATACCTCCCTGGTACATAGTAAATGATTTATAAGGGTTTTGAATGATATAAACCGGAGGTTGATATTGATAAAGGCATAGAGAACTGAAGTCAATAAGAGGCATCATTTAAGCAGCTCCAGGTCAGAGACATGGCCACTTCCACCACTAAACTCATGAGTTTATCTGCCTGCCACATTTTGAAGTAAATACTATTATCACTGACACCTTAGCAATGAGAAAACAGAATCTTGGAGAAGTGATGTCACTAGCCCAAGGTCTCCCAGAAGCCAGTATATAGTAGGGTGGATCTAACTGGCTTGATCCTAAACCTGTGATGTTTATACCCTCCTCACTACAAGACTGGG